CCTGCTTGAGAATCACTAGAGTTCTAAGTACTAAAAAAAAATGCTAGGTATTAGCATATTTGTGACTCTGACCTACCTATAGCTATATAAGTAGTCAAGGTCATAAATATATTTTGTGACCCTGACATATATATACATATATCTTATTAGGAGGGGGGAAAAGGCATTATTTGAATTTGTTTCTTAGCAAAGACAACATCTGATTGTTTTCCCTTTTAAGATTTTACCACTTTTTGCTAATTTTCTTGAAGTTGCAGGCTTTTTCTTTCTTAAAAGCAAGCTATAAATTAAAACACAGGAGCTGGTCCTTTTTGTATTATTTTTTGTTTCCTTATAATGTATAAGGATAGCTTCAGTCTTGTGGTGTGTGTATGTGTTTTTTTTGTTTAACATTCCAAATATCGGATGTTGTTTTTTTTGGTGGAGAACTGTAGTAAGATCTCTTGAAGTCCTGAATTGTGAAAGGCATGCTGCAGTTTTTTTGTTGTCTCCCAAGCTGAAACAGACTAAGACAAGATACATTTGTTTTTTTCCCATTTCAAGAATGAGAGGACCCTGCTCTCTGATTGCATGGAGGGAGAACAGCACATGAGCTTTCAATTTAATGGAATATCCTACCTTCAAAAATCTTGCTGGAGCCGTCCAGCAAAAAAATCTGAACTTTCAGTTCTAATTGAACAGAATGAAATATTTTACAATCTCTTAGATGCTCTTCATACATAATGAAGCACAGTAAAAGGCTTTAAACTGTGTCCGCCCTCCTCCCACACGTTATAAACCTTTACCTAAAAAAGTGGAAAAAAAGTTTAATGTACTGTATATGAGTCTTATTTTTTGTTCCAACTCCTTAGCAATAGCACAGCTAAGAGTAGAAAAAGAAGGTAAGAGAATTTGGAAGAGGCTAGAACAGTGACAATAGCAGGAAATCTGTTATAGTACGAGGAGAGTCAGCAAATCTATCCACTCCATTATTGCTTCAGAGAATGTTCCATAACTTGTAGCACTAGAATGGAGTAAGTTTAGCTTAATGGATTATTCACGGTGATTATTCACCGTTTTAACATCTTCACCCAATTTGATTACTTTAACTGCTTTAAAACAAATACATTTTCTTCAACATTTTTGACACTGTGTGCCTCAGTAGACAGGGTGGATTTGATTTAAATGATCTAAATTACTGGTCAGGAAGCCTCGATTCAATCATTGTTCTCTCCAAAATTGCATTCTTGTTGTTTGATATCCTTTATTCATTTAACTTCTTGAAACTTTTTGCATTTTTAGAGAAAGGTAAGGGTTTGACTGTCTCTACACAATCTTGCAGAGACACAATAGGGCTGATGGGTAGGTAATCAGGTCTCTTATCTCTCATCTCCATATACTGCTGTTAAAAAGGATGTTGTTTCTGGAGACGACAAACTCTCCCTATTCCTGAAGAAGAGCATTGATGCCTGAAAGTTTGCAGAGAGAATTTTTCCAACTATTTAGATGGTCTAATAAAAGATACCACCTCTACCGAAAGAACCTTGTCTGCCTATGGTCCCTGGAGACACAAATCCACAGTTTGAGAATTGAAAGTAAGCATCACAGAAATGTTTAATGAGATCTTCTAGACTGAGCACTGAGTCCCATTGGGTAGAGTGGTTTTCTTTAATCTTTACTCATCTATAGAGGAGCCTCTGGGAACCCTGTAAGATTGGGCTCCTGATATAGTCTGTTGTGACCGATTTATAAAACTTCTAAAAAGGTTATGTGAATATATTGTCTTAAATTAGTATATAATTAGAAGTTATAATCCCTATTCCATGATGATATCTTTGAGCTTTAATATATTTTCAGTTAAAACTATATATAAGTTTATTTTTAAAGCATTGTAACAAAAAATAAAAAATACGATTAAATAAAAATAACCCAATTTTTTTAAATTGTTGGTTTTTTCCACCCTGTCCATAGATGTTCCGTTTGTGCTCCAAATGCCCTTGAAGCACTCCAAACAGCAAGTATAGAAGGGAGTGTGGCTGAAGTTCTTCAGATCCTCAAAAAATGAACATCTTTGAAGTGCTTTTTTGAGGTACTTCCCAAAATGTTATGTACCCTCCAGTGGAGCATAATAGGATGTGGCTTCATTCTCCAGTAGCCCACAGCGCTGTATTCCCCCTCCCTCGTGGGTGGGGAGAGCAGGGCAGACAGCAGCTGAGCACTTTCTTGTGCACTCAGCTGTCCTTAGGAGACTTCACAGATAGAAAGCCATGTAAAGAATCCTTTTCTCTATTACCCCTGCTGGAGAGCACAGCCACTGCTGCTTGTTGCAGCAATTTTGAAATGCTCTGGTGGGGGGGAGGTTACAGTTGAAGAGGTGACATATCTACATGGCATTGAAGTGCTCCAAATTGGAAGTGCTCTGAATTGTGGCAGATTTTGGAGTGCTTCAGGTGCATGTATTTCCGTTTCCTGAGTCTGATTCATGTAGTCTTCAGTTTTCCTCTCAGAGGCGCACTGAGATGTGCATTGTTTTTGTGCTGTTAAATATTTGGTAGAAATACCCTACCTCTGGAGTGGGCAAAATATGGCCCATGGGCTGGATCTGGCCACCAAATAATTCTATCCAGCCCACGGCTGCTCCTTCAACGGAGAATTGCATCTGACCCGCAGCTACCCTGACTTTCAGTGCCTCTTGCCCTTTTCCCTTCCCTTTGCCATAGCTGGCTGCAGCAGCTGCTCCAGTGGCTAAGGGCACCCTGCCCGAGCCCCCAGTGTATACTCTAAGGCACGGGGTGCTGAGCTCCTGGCCAGGCTTCTGCCCAGTGAGGCTGTCTGTGCGCAGCTCCGACCCTACAGCCATTCACAGACAGACAGCTTAGTCCCTGGCAAGAGTTGAAGCTCAGATACAGTTCTCCCTGCTGGTGGGAAGGGGGTGCAGGGGGAGGAGGCCCAGGAGCTGTGGGTTATCTGGGCCCTGCCAGGCTGGGGACTGGTAGGAGTGCGGGCGCCACTAACACAGTGCCGCTCTGTGTTCCTGTGCACTTCAGGCTGCGCCACGTGGGTGCAGCTGGAGTGGCGGGTGCAGCTCCTGCCTGACTGGCACAGCTCCTGAGTCACCAGCATGTGACCAAGTCAGGCAGGAGCTACTCCAGCTGTGCCCACATGACCGAAAGTGGTGCGCGGGAACACAGTGCAGCTGCGTGCTAGGGACTTGGGGTGAAGGGGTGCAGGGAGAAGCAGGGAACACAGCATGGCACAGGCCCAGCTGGGCCCGGATAACCCATGGCTCCCGGTCCCTTTCTCCCTGCACCCCCTTCCCCACCTTGAGTCCCCAGCATATGGCCAGGTCAAGCAGAAGCTGCTTTAGCTGTGCTCACATGGCCTGAAGTGGCACGCGGGAACTCAGTACAGCACTGGCCTGGCCCAGCCCTGCTGTGTGCCAAGGGCTCAGGACAGGAGAGGGGTACAAGGAGAAGTGGGGAGCATAGCACTGCACCAGCCCAGCTGGGCCCAGATAACCCATGGGTCCCGGTCCTTTTCTCCCTGTACCCCCTTCCCCCACCCTGAGTCCCCAGCACACAGATGGGCCGGGCTAGTGCCATGCTGTATTCCCGCCCTCTGCTTTAGGCCTCATTGATGCAGCTAAAGCAGCTCCTGCCCAACCCAGCTGTGTGCCAGGGACTTGGGACAGGGGAAGGGGTGCAGGAAGAGCTGTGGAGAGCTCATATCTGTGTGTGTGTGTGTGTGTGTGTGTGTGTGCGTGCGCGCGTGCGCTCACACATGTGGCCCTCAGCAGTTTGGCAAAACTCGTTAAGTGTCCCTCTAGCCCAAATAATTGCCCATCCCTGGCCTGGCCTATCTCCTTTCAAAATAGTCATTACTTTTGAACATGGAAAGTTTTGATCTGTTTTATAGGCCCAGTCCATCCGGTTGAGCCTGGTTAATATTTTCTGTGCCTGTACTTACCACTTGTCTATTATTTGTATTACTATGGTAGTGCATAGAGGCTGTATCAGGTTTGGGGCTAATTAAGCTAGATACTGGGCAAACACAAAAGAGATTATCTCCACCTGTAAAATCAAGATAGTAATATTTTCCCCTTATAAAATGTTTTGAGATTCTCTGAAAATGGCATGTATTGCTAAGTTGATATTTGTTCTGTTTTAATAAGTTGACATTTCTGTAGCAACTTTCATTCAGGGCTCTTAAAGCAAATTATAGACCATTATTGAGCTTCCTCCTTGCCATTTTCATTACCCAGACCCTCCATAGTAAGTTACATAAATATTATCCATGTTTTTCAGAAGGAGAGACTGGGATATAGAATAGTGCAGTGAATTGCACAAAATTTCCTAGCAAATGCAGGGTAATGGCTTCAATTCCTAGACCATTCTTTTTTCTTTTGTGACAAAATCAAGGCTGACATATAATGAAGACAGTAATTCAAAATAGCTTATGCCACTGTATGTATATATGTTTGGAATTCATTCTCTGTTAAATACTACTGTTAGCTCTTCAGAATCAGAAAAAGGTTAATAGCTTTTTCTTTCTGAAAGTCTTGCTTCATTTAGAATAACTGTTTGATCTTACTCCTGTGGAAGCAAATAAATAAGTTAAATGTGGTAGCTGCAGATAAAATAGTCCTCTCAACACAGGAAAGGGGTGGATTGTAACCAACAGATACTTTGTTTTGGGGGAAACGTTACAAAAAGTGTCATTAATAGGCATGTTGACTTCACTTTTCTATGAGTTGTAATATTGTGCGGCTATTTTCTTTGTCTTTTGTTAAATAAGCAATGATCATTTTTGGAAAATAATTGTTTATTAACAAAAAGAGAGCAAGAGCTAAAAACCAGAAGATTTAAATTTTAATTTTTTTACGGATACTGTCTTAGGTCTAGTGTTTTGTATTTACTTACCACCATTAAAATCTAAATGCCTTTGTTCAAAAGAACTTGGCAATTATACAATGGATCTAGTGCACTTATTAAAATTGACTGAATCTAGTTCTTGCAATATAATAAACTAGTCATGCACCAATAAAGATTTTTTTGGCTGATACCGATGGCCAATTATTAACTAGCCATATCAGCCAATACCAACCCAATACTGATATGCAGCCCTGCAGCTTGGAGAGCAGCGTCAGGCCGGTAAGTGCGTAGGGAGGGAAGGGCCTGGAGGGGGCAGATCGAGGCCCCCCCCATGGTGAGGGAGGGAATGGACAAGGGCAGAGGCAGGAGCTGTGGGCAACTAATTTGGGGGGCGCAGGTGGTGGTGGGGTGACTGTTCCCCTCAGGGGAGGTGTGGGGTAGGGATGTGCCCCCGGATTTGTGTGCGGGGCAAGGGCTGGCTGCCTGTTGTGGGCTCGGGGCCAGAGTCTGTTCTGGCCTTTTGTGGGCAGGGGGGCTTGGGGCAGGGCTGTGCTTGGGGTGGGCGGTGGCAGCAGTGGGATGGGAGCTACACGGTGGGTTATAGCCACCCCAAAATTCGCCATAGCCCACCTTGTAGCCCCATTCCCAGTGCCACTGTTGCCTGCCCAGTCCCTCCACTGCAAAGAGGCTGGCACAGCCCACCTTGACCCTGTGCAGAAGTCCAGGGGGCATATGTCCCTCATGCCCCTCCTGGGGCTGCGCACAGTGGCAGGAGCTGTCCCCCCCCACTTTGCCCCTCCACACATAATGTAAATTTTCCTTGTATCAGTGCCAGTCTGATATGGGTCTATATATCAGCGCATCTCTATAATTAACTTTTGAAAGACATGAAGTGTACTGGTCTATCCATCTTCTGTGTATCTGCTGAATATTTTATTTTTCATAAAACTGAAGTCAAAGCAAGAATGTTTTAGGCTAATTTTATGAGGACTGGCATAAGAATTTTTAAAGGTTCAGGCAGATGCAGTACTGTAAAATGTGTACTATAAGAGTGCAGGCATCTAGAGTTATCTGCTGATTTAAACGGCATACATGCAGAACTTGCATATATGTCAACAGAATGGGAGGTAAGGCATGATCTTGAGTTGCAAATAATGTATGTTGAAAATTAGTTAAATTTAGATTTTGTAAGCAAGGAACTAATTTTTCAGCTCCAGGTGAATTTGGCAGAAAACTCTATGGTTTATTAGGTAGAGACCTTTCCTTTACACGCACATTTTATTAGCAGTGAAGGTAATAAGAATTTTTTTCTAAGTATACAAGTTAACTATGTTACAAGTTAACAAGTTGAACTATATTAAAAAGCTCCTTTGAAAAGTGTGAATTGTAATGACAGGTCCTCATTGGAAAAGAGGGAAAGAAGTTGAAACGGATTTTTAAAAAATTAACCTGATAATATGAATCATTCAAAATGAATCTGGTCCTACTGCGTGCAACAGTTTCAGGTGGCTAGAATTGACTGCTTCATGCTCTCAGTAGACAGATAAATTGAGGGCAATATTTTTATTCTACAGTCATTATTTATTATGTTATAGGCACTAATACAGCCTCCGTCCTGTTGTATCTTATCCAGTTTTTGTCTAAAATAAGTATTGGACAAATAGTGTACACTGAAGGGAGGTGTTCATTCAAATTGCTGAAAGATCTTGCATGTTTTAATGCACTTACCTTATTTCAGAAACTTTAGGGTACCCTAGCATACCTTTTGTTGCCTTTACTTCATGGTGACTCACCAATACAAAGAATGCTTGGCTGCTGTTTAGGTTCCAGCCTGTCTCCCCTCCCACATAGTTTGAATATTAAAAACATACTGTGAATCCAGTCTTCTAGCTAACTCTTTAAAAAATGTGAATGTCTTCATTAACACTTTTACAATGTTTTTAACCAGTAATCGTTTTTCATGTAGACTAGGAACTTGGTTTTTTTGGGAAAAATATTAATTCTATGATACAAACTTCTAAATACAACTCAATAATAAGGAAAAGACCTAAGGAAGAAAATGGTGCTTTAACACAAGGAGACGATATTTAAGAAAAACACAAAACAAAGTGGGGATTGGCATGCCCTAAAACACATTATTTGTGGACTGAATTTCAAATGAGCATTGTACATATAATTTTGTGTGTGTTTAATCTAAAAATAATCATCTGAAAAATAGGGCTACGATATACTGGGGAAATCAAGAAAGGCAACAAAACAGGTCTTATCTGAAGTTAGCAGGTACTGCAGGGACTAAGGTCAAATTCTGTCATACATGCAGAAATACAACACACAGAGAACAAGAATTCTGAAAGCAGTAATAAAAATCATCCATTATTTACTGTTTTAGAAATGTTTTCACCGAGGCAAGTTGCAGTAAAAATTAATGTGAGTTATTAAAAATGTAAATACATAATGATGCATTTATACAAGTGCAAGACTAAGTATTTTACTTAAAGTATTTCAATTAAAAGATATACAGTAAGTGCACACTTGATATGATTAAGCAGGCAAAACATAACATTAGTTCCATATACTGTAGTACAGTTCATGCATAGATCTCTCCCAAAATAAAAGGGTACTCCAAATAATTCTTGCTGGGATGAAAAAAACAGGATGGGTTGCTGGTAAGGGTGTCAGCATGGACGGGGGGTCAGTTATAGACATTACTTACTGTAATTTGTGATTGTCGTGGGAGAGGCGTGGCTGTTGGTGTGATAGTGATACTGCTGGTGATTTTATTGGTAGGTTTACTGGGTGTTCCATTAGATAGTGCTGGTGTTCTGCTATCCTGCATTGGAGTACAAGGGCTGCTGGACTTTGCTGAATTACTAAGAGCTTGAACATAAGGACTTCCTAAATGAATGTGGATTTTATTATCCTCAGTAGTTATTACGCTTGAACCAGTACTGTTAGATCTTTGGAACTGCCAGGATGATTGCCTGTCTGGAGATACTCTAAAAACAGCATGCTTGGCACTGATTTCCAAAGGCTCTGTTGAAAGTATCTGTTCCTGAGCACTGGAAGAGCCTGGCAGAGCCAAGGGGGACATTGTCCTTTCTGGAGTTACTGAGCTGCATGATTCAGGTGTTTGAGATCTTGCAAAAGCAGCCATAGTAAGAGGTGACATAGCTTGCTCTGGGGTCATGTAGCCTTCTGCCACTCTTGTTTTTATAGGAGTTAGGGAGGCATTTTGAATAATAGTTATTCTTTGTTTCGGTGTGCCACAGTTGGGTATAACTGCAGTACTAGTGTAAGAGTGAGCACTTTCTGTAGTAGGACTTGTTATTTCAAGTGTCGCTGTATTTTGTCCATGGTCTGGAGTAACCTTTATATGAAGAGGCTGTCCAGGTGTATGACTTAGAACTAGATCTCCAGGCTGTGCAAAACTTCCATTTTGTTTTGCATTAATTTTTCCATTTTGAGGGTGGCCTTCTTTGGACTTCATCCATGGGATCCATAATTTTTTGTTTACAGCATTTGCAATGGATGAATTGCATTTAAAAGAGATCATTTGCTCCTCCTCATTATGGTCTTCATCATCATTATCACTGTCTTCATATAACTGCCCATTTATGACTGCGCGTTCTAATGGAATAAGGCTCTTGTAATCAGGTGGTTCATTGTCAGCTGGTTCTGTCTGGACTTCTTTAGAGAGAACCTGCAAGTCAGAAATTCTCCTTCCATTGAGACTCGGTCTGAGGCTCTTACTGAAGCGCCTGTACCTTTCTAATTCTTTCATGAGGTTTTCCATTTCTCTTGCCAAATCCCTGTTTTTGTTTTCTTGTTGCATGAGTTTCTTTTGCAGGATTGTATGATCCCCCTGTAGATGACCTATTAAGTCCTCTGTTGCCATATACTCATGAATTTTCTCTTTTAATGCATCTACCTCCTGAGACAGGTGACCCGACTTAGCTTCTTCTTCTTTAAGCTTTTTGAAAAGCCACTGCTCTTGGTTGGACTCTGCCTTCTCTGCCAGTTTATACCTAGCCAGTTCTATTTTTACAACCTCTAGTTCCTCTGACAGAAACTTTGCTTTGTCTCGTTCATTAATGTATCTTCGTTCTAGAGACTCAAATTCATCCTCAGTTTTCATGAGATCGTCTTCTATGGCTTTCATTTCTTTCAGCTTATGTTTCAGCCTCTCAACTTCTTGGGAAAGTTCTCTTATTTTGTTGTTCTCCTGCTGTAAAGATGTGCTGGATTTAGTAGTCTCTTTGAGTTTATTTCTCAGAAACTCTTTTTCAATGGCTTCTAAGGACTGAAGCCGTTTCCTTAGAATATTTACTTTGGAAACAAGATCGCTTCCTTTCTCTTCCTCTGCTTTCAGTTTGTTTTTTAGTTCATCTCTTTCCTTTGTTACAGTAGACAGTTTTTCCTCTGCATCAGATTTTGATTTTAGTGCCTTTCTGCTTTCCTCAATTAGCTTTTCTGTAACTGTCTGAACTTTCTTTTGCTCCACCTGAAGTTGAGTATTTGCAGCTTTTAACTTTTCTTCGGTTTGCTTTATTTTCTCACTCATTGTTTTCCTTTCATCCACCAACATCACTGTCAGTGTTTTCAGTTTAGTTAGGTCATCCTTAAGTGTGACTTCTGTTTTTTCTAGCTTGTTTTCAATGGCTTCAAGCTCTCCCATTCTAGCTTTTAAGCTATCCAGTTCAAGGGACAATTGCTTTGTTAACATTTTTTCTTTTTCTAGATTGCACTTCAGAAAGTAACACTCTTGTTTGCCCTTGCTGAAAGCATCTTCTAGTTTCTCCAGTTCCATGATTCTTTTGTTGAGTTTGTCAACTTCTGCTTTAAGGTTCTTGCTCTGTGCTGCTTCTTTTTCTAATTTTTTATTAAGCTCTCTGCACTGCTCTTCCATTTTTATGAGCTCTTCATCTTTACCTTCCATTTCCAGCACACGTTTCCGTAATTCTTCAACTTCAGCCATAAGGGTAGAATTTCCGCACTCTCCCTTATTCATTTTATCCCTTAGGTCTTGCAATTCTTCCTCTGCTTTTCGCAGAGATTTATTAGTCTCTTCTAGTTCATCAATTTGTCGACTGAGTGCAGTTAACTTTAACCGGAGCTGGCGATTCTGACTGTCTTCATTGGTTAGCTTGGCCATCATTGCTTCTTGGTCTTGGGAACTCTTGTTGTTCTGGGCCTGCAGTTCAACCTCCAGCCTGATAACTTTTTGCTCCTCTTCCTGAGCTTTTGCTTCAGCAACGGTGAGCTTCACATATGCTTGATCTGCAGTGGTGGTTAGCTCTTGAATTTTTTGACTCTGTTGGTTTAGTTGTTCAGTGAGTCTTTGCTGTTCATCCACCACCATTAACGCAAATGATTTCAATTTTGTTAGTTCTTCTTTTAGTTTAGCTGTCTTCTTGTTGTTTTCCTTCTCTCTTTTTGCCTGATAAGCCGTTTCTTGTTCAAGAAGCTTTTTCAGTCTGAAAAATACAGAGAATATTTAACTTTGTAGCAGGTTTAATGGATATTTAAATCAAAATTGGAATTACTGTATCATGGGTACCAGAGGAAAGCAAAGTGTAATCTGGTCCCGCTCTAGTGCAGAGGAGAAGCTCACACAGGCTACTACAGCATCCACATAAATTTATATATCCAACAGTAAAGTGTTTTATGTCAGTATAATTATGCACATGCAAGGGGGTTGGACTGATTTGACTCTGCCAGGTTCTGGAAGGGTGGCATATAAATCAAATAAACAACAGATATCTCATAGAAAACAAAACTGTGTGTAAGCAAGGCCAGAGTGGAAGTGGGGTACTTATCCTGTCACTGTCAATTCTTGCTGTAAACAAGTGAATCCCAAAGAAGGCTTTTCCTTTGAACCTCAAAACACAGTTCTGGTTTTGAACCCCAAATTCACAGTAAAACCAAAATATATTTGGATGAAACTCTATTTTTTCATGATGCTTTAGTTATTTCCCTGAATTCTTCCTAACTCAGAGGTTAATCTGGAATTATTGTTCAAGTATACATGTGTAATCCACTTTTTTTAAGGAAATGCAGGAGACATTTCATGTCTAAAGTTTGGGATGTGCATTTATATTATGTAAAAACCTGAATTAACCTAAATATTCTAGTGTTTGGGATCTTTTCTTGGCTTTGCTTTTCTGTCAGGAAGAAATAAAGCGGTCAGTATTTCTCTCTTTCATCAGTTCTTTCATTTTTTTCCCAATAAATAAGATCCCTGAGGCATTAAACAAGTATGTGAAAAACATTAACTTTTCTATACAGTGCTAGTATATGGTTGAATAATATACCAGTATGCTTAATGTAATTAATTGGGGCGAGAGGAGGGAAGCAAAAGACTTGTGACAGGAGATTTGATCTCATGCTTCTCTGAACCAGTTAGTCTCTAAGGTGTCACACTACCCTGCTTTTTCAACTTTTGTTCCTGTACAACATCTCTTCCTCCAAGTGAAGTCCTTTGTCCTGTCAGAGTACTTAGTGTTCCACTTCTGTGGCCTTCTGATCTCCAAAGTTCATATTGCAACCATGTTTTTTATTTGTAGAGCTGGAGAGTACTCTCATCTGTGCAGCTCTTTGAGTGCTGAGTGGCTTGGAACTCATACTCCTTGGGATACAGTTTGCTACTGCCTGCTGCTTGTTTGGTAGTGATAGAACCTAGATTTTCTGTCTACTAGGAGAAAGCCACTGCTGCTTGTGTAAGATGCTGGGTTCCTTGGTCACTTTTGATAGTGGTATTGGGTGGAAGCTTCTGAAACTGAATACAAAATCTTCTACCAGTCCATCATCCATGAGCTATTTATCCTGCAAAAGCTCATAACTGTGGCATTGAAGCACTTTACATGTGAATTGTGCAGTATGAGCAGTAACAATCGGCTATGGAAAACAGCCTACAAGGAAGCTATTATTTAGTTCCAAATTCTTTATAGGGCAAACTAATAAGCCTGGGAAGTAGACATTTAAAGGTGCCTGCAGGAGGGAGAGGTTTGCTAAATGTGTTTTGAGAGATGAAGTAGGGTTGATAAGGTAAAGTGTTATGGAAAGGTGCCAAGGATGGCAGGAAATTTAGGGAAGATATAGTACACACATTTGTGTGTGTATGCATGTATGTCTACACATATCTTATAACTGCAAGTATGTTATATTACTGCAAGTAATGCCTGCAAGTATGTTATAACTTATATTTGTGTTCTCTTCAGTGTAAAATTTCCTGTCCTCCCTACCTCTGCCCTTGAGTGCTTTAGTAGTGAAGTTTGGCTGATGATTTAATGTTACTATAGATACGAAATCATAACAGAAGCATAACTAGCAATTTCATTTGGACTTACTCAGCTCTTACATATGAGTGAGGTTAGCTGTCTTAAAATAATATGTGCAGAATAAGCTCAGACTAAAGTTTTCGTTTTACTTGACCAACTTGTTTCATTATCTTGTCATTCTTTTTTTAAACAATATTAGCAGGATGAGGGAGTAACACCCAAATTAATTGGTACTTTAAAACCTGTCTGGGTGCATTTACACAAGATGCTACTGCTCAGTGGTTATTGCGCATTTATTTGTACTTGTATAAGAAAGAACTAAATAAAAGCGCACTGACTGGAGTTACTGTGCAGTAGTGCCATTGAACACCTTTTAAGTGATGCTACTACACAGTAGCTTAATACTACTGCACAATAGCATCTCGGCACAGTTTTTGCTATGCGACGTTACTGCACAGTATTATCAGGCTGCTGCAGTCAGTGTCTTGTGTAGACATGCCCTCTGTGAACTAAATTATGTTAATTTAAAGCAGTAAATGAAAACGTTTGAACTCTTGCTTTCCCTTAAATGTCAATTTTTAGGGGAGGGGGCTGTCCACAAATTAGTAAAACATTTTGATTTGCTCATGGATGCTCTACAGTAATTTTTATAATGCAAAATAGGTAACAGATTTAAAAAATATATGTATTTGCTCTTGGCTGAGCGAGTCACTTCAAATCTTTCTAGTGTGTGCACCACATGTGCTTCCAGTTTGTATCCTCACTCTTTGCTATAATAGTAACCCCCAAGTCCTTGCAGACAGTTCATTAAAGTAAAGTACTTGAATCTTGACCTAACAAAACACTTAAGTCCTGGGTTTGGGCCTCAGTCATGGGTATTGATCAAGTTTTCAGTGCATGAAAATCTGAACAAAAGTAACCATGTTTTGCTAATAGGTTAGACCGTGGATTTGTATAGGATAGCTTGGACAGGGACGATGCCTCCTTCTTCATGAAGGGAGTGAAAATAGATGACTTCTGAAGGTCCCTTCTAGCCCTACTTTCCTATGATTCTATGTTATTTGTCCTTGCTCTGGCTCACTGCATAACTGTGAAAGGATTCTTTGATGACTGTCTCTCTCTAGGCCGTTTGAAAATTTAGAAGGGGTTCCTCCAGACATTGAAAACATCATCCTTCACTTAAAGAAAGATGGAATTTTAGAAACCTAACTAGAATAAAAAGAAGGTGTATCTGAATATTCAAATACATCCCTTTGAATCTATAATGACAAGCATAAAATCACTTCAGTGTAAAGCTAACTTGGGTAATAGAGAGTGCATTTCAGGAGCCAGTATTGAGAAAAAGGAATTTTCTTTGCTACAAAAGTTGGATTATGAATAATAATAAAAAAAAAATCTATCATTAATTAAACATGACCCCAACTAATATAAACACCCACACAATTACTTTTCTTTCGTAATATTTATACACTTATTAATATTTTGTGTTGGCTCTTGATACTTTTTAATCCACATAGTCATATTCAGCAACGTTTAGAAAAATCTCCTCTGGTCATGTTACTTGATAGTGATCTCTTGGGCAGAGCAGAGAGTTGCTGCAAGGCAGCCAGCTAAGAAGTCTCTTTTTGAATTTTTTTTGTTGGCTTTTTGGTTTCCTTATTTTATAGCTCAAATTGAAGGATCTTGGGGCCACCAGCAGCTGCCACAAACACATCTAAGGAACAGAACTAGTCCTTTTACCTAAACTCCTTTATGTACTCTTAAGATATAGTATATCATTTTATAATGTGTAAGAATGTGTTCTTGTTCTTGATTTCCATTTTATGTTCTGTCACTACGTGTCTGTCTACTACACAAGGTAGTTAATTAAAGGAATTTTATAGCTATTTCTGATTAGCTGCCCATGTGGATGCTTTGATTCTGGAACTAATAAGGCATGTTTCAAATGAGCTTAATCAGAATACATTGAATTGATTCAGAATATATTAGTCTTATTCCAGAATAAGAGCACATAGGTAGTTAATCAGGAATTGTGAATTAAGAATAATTTCCCATGTAGGCAAGCTGTGATATCACTCTGATAATTAGGGAGAGTTGGGAGCTGGTATTTTGACTGTCTCTTCCCTCTCCACTTCTCTAGTTTGTCTTTTAATAGATGCTGAAAATACCTTTGTGATAGAGGAAGAAGCAATGCCTAAGCCATCTGTTCATCTATTTAATTTATCCCATGGATTAAATCCTCATCTGTATTGATTAGGGGTGGTGAATTCTGGGAGAGAAGGAACTGCAGTTTGAGCACGGGTGGGCAATTATTTTGTTGGAGGGCTTCTTAATGAGTTTTGGTGAGCTGTCAAGGGCTTCGAGGGTAGCCCTACCCCTTGACAGGTGCTCCACCCTCTGGTCACCATCTTGGGACCAGAAGTGCTGCCCGTAACCCCTAACCTTTGCCACCAGAAGTCCCTCCCTTGCCCCCCGAAGTACTCCTTTTGGGAGGGGGTGGGTTTGCCATCTTTGAACCAGAATAAAACTAAATCATATGCTAAAAGTCAACACCTACTATAACATATTTTAATATTATTACAAAGAATCATTTTGTCATGATTTGTGTTTGTGGTGTGGGTGTACTTCAAAATAGTCTTACTTTTGTATATTTTGTATGGGATGTGGTTGGGGGTGGGTGGGTGGGTGAATGCATGTGTGTATGGTGGGGTATGTGGGGGATTGTGAGAGGATGTGACTGTGTATGTGGGGGGGTGTAGGGGAA